GAAACCGTCCGCGCCCACATGGGAGAGTGGAATCGAGTGCATTCCACCGCCCAATGAGAAGCGGTTTCCGAAGTGGGCTAGCAACGAATCCACAAAGAGCAACATACGCGCTTCAATGCTTGACGCCAGTGGCACCAACCGCGGTAGTGAAGATCGAGGCAGGAGGGCGCCTCCACTTGATCCGCGCACTTATCGACCCGTGCGCTATGACCTCTTTGATTGCGTTGGACCTCGCGCAGGAACTCCGCTTGGGTGTAACGGAAGTCACCAACCAACGAGGCTACTTCCTTAAACTGCGAGGCCAACACGGTCAATCGGCAATAGTAACGACGCATGCGGTCGCCATTAAGAACTTTGAGGGACGAACGCCGGTATCTAGTCTCGACGCTACAATCGCCGGATCCTACTCTAACCTAAAACTTGCAGATCCGGGCTTCCATATTACTGCGCCAGTTCGCCTAGTACTCGGTGAAGACGTCTTCGCGAAAATTATACTAGGCATTCTTCCAGCGGGGACTATGGGCCCGCTCTTAGCACAGAATACCATCTTCGGATGGGTGCTCTCTGGCGCCTGTTAACCATAATTTGTTCTTACCAATTATTGATTTTTTCCTTGTAAATACTTACTCAAAACATATTAACACACAATGAATACCATGAATGAATAAAAAAGTGCGAGTGAAATTTTAAACCACGTTTATTTCTTGAACTTTTCTTGTTTTTGATCGACATATAGGTACCGTCGTCGGAGACCAGAACCAGAGGATGACGATTAGTTAGTTACATAAGTAGATAAACGGAGCATGGTGGTTGGACGGGCTGGAAAACATTGCGTGTCGCAAGCGGGGCCGGCATGTTTAGGCCAGCGGCCTAAATTTGCTACACATTTTTCGACCCACCCTAATGTATAACATAACTTACTTATTATGGTTGCTGTCGAGCTGTTAACTACTCTGTTAAATCTGCAATAATCAAACTTTCGTCAAATAAACAGTTCGACAAGCAACCGTAACTAAAATCAAGAACGGTTTACTTACTTCTTTTGCGAGTATCCGAAGAAGAGGATGTCATCCAGTCACCAAGCTCAGCTTTTGTATTTCAAGGTAATCTGCAATTCAAATATATGTACATATATATATATATATATATACACACAAATTACTTAAGTGAATAAACACTATTATTTTTAGTTATACTAATACCAAGATTTAAATTTCTTTTCATTAAATTAATCATCGGTGCGAACGTGCATCCAAATCTTGCTCAAGCGTTGCGCCGATGAATAAATTGATTAACACGTGAACCCGTTTAGTTTCATAAAAACTAAACACAACGAAAACTGATTTACTTATTTTCACAGGGCCAAATTCCTTGCAATTTTGTGTGCTGGGTATGAGCTACTTCGGCCGTTGGAATTAAAGCGAAAATAAAATTTTCCTTTTTTACTCCTACGCGTTTCAACGCATTTCGCGCCTTCCTCAAGGAGTCTGCTTTATTTGAACGATAAACAATAAACATGGTTAACAATTATCATAACATACACATCAGAAATTGAAACTCCCACTTTACAATTATTCACATTAAATAACAATAATTACATGGTTGTAGCGCAGCGAGTTTACATTACTTTCTTTTTGTTTTGTTTATATCTAGATTTTAATATAGCTGTGTAGGCGTTGTTTGTGTTGCCCACATCTTCTTTGAAATTCATCACATTGTCAAGTTTCTGTTGTATTCGTAGGCTTTCCAGTGTCATTCTCCTTCTTTCTCCTCTTTGGATGTCCAAAACTCGCGTGCTGTTTGCCAAGTGTTGAGCCAGCGCAGTTGTCATCTTTTTGTTTTTTGCATCCGTCCTATGTTCATTTATTCTTATACACAACGCTCGTTTTGTTGTGCCTATATAGCATTCATTGCAGCTTTCATTGTTATTACCAGTTCATGTTATTTCATATACTACATTTTTATGTTGCTCTTTTTCGATCTTGTCCTTTGTTTTAGTAAATATTTTGTTTAGAGTATTGTGTGGTTTATGCGCATATATTATGTTGTTGTTTTTTATTGTTCTTCGCAGTATTTTATTGCTTGTTACGCCTGGTATATAGGTTAAGCCAATGTATTTTTTTTGGAGCTTTCTGATTAGATTTTTATATTTGGGTTAGGCTGGTGAATCTTGTTAATTGTGGTCTCTATTNTACGGACGAAAGAGAAAAAGACACAACAAGAGGTAACATCGCAGCGAAAATAAGTACGTTCTAGGAAAAATTACACAACAACGCGAAAGAAAAATACATATTGAAAACATATGAGGACACAAAAAAATTTATAAGCCAACACAAAGACCAAATTGTAATAACCCAGGCAGATAAAGGTAACAAAACAGTAATGATGTACAGAACTGATTATGATTGCAAAATGATGGAATTGCTGAATGATAAAACCACATACAGAGCCATAGGAAATGATCCCACCCAGAAGTTAATGAGAAGAAATAATGCGATCATAAATAATTTATACAAACAGAAAAAAATTAACCTAAAGGAAAAGCTACGGTTGACATGTGCAGCGGCAAATGCACCTAGACTCTATGGCCTCCCCAAAATCCACAAGCCCAACACACCTCTCCGACCAATATCGTCATCCACAAATGTTCCCTGTTACAAACTTTCAAAATTTATGGGAAATATTCTATGAAATATCACATCAGATATATACAATATAAAAAACTCTTATCAATTAAAAGAAAATCTCCCCGATGTCACAGTAGAAGCAGGTGAAATTCTAGTATCTTTTGATGTAATTTCATTATTTACGAATGTCCCGACGCAGTTCGCCATACAAATTATCATGAAAAAATGGAAAACATTGGAAAACTACACCAACATTGCAAAAAATTATTTCCAGATGATGCTAGAGTTTTGCTTAAGAGACAACAACTACTTCAAACACAATAATACCCTATATCAGCAAATTTATGGTATGCCCATGGGGAACCCATTATCGCCAACCATTGCAGACATTGTGCTAGATAAAATATTAGACGATAGCATAGCTGAATTAGAGCAAAAGAATATACATATCAAATACATAAGCAAATATGTAGACGATATATTCGCGATAATTAAAATAAAAGACGTGGAAGAGATATTGAAAACATTAAAAGCTCAGCATACAAAAATACAGTTCACAGTAGAAAAAGAGAGCAACAAAATAGCCTTTTTAGATGTAGAAGTGCACAAAAGACGAAACCAATTATTGCTGAACTGGTTTGCAAAATCAATTGCGTCGGGTAGAGTCTTTAATTTTCATTCGAATCACCCTTGGAAACAAAAAGTAAATACCGCGGCCAGCCTCATTAGGAAAATACATATTCTAAGCGACGAAGAATTCTCTGACGAAAACAATAACAGCATTAAAACAATATTGAGCAAAAATAGCTACCCAAATGCACTTATTGATAGTCTAATAGAGACCACAATTAACAAGATTCACCAGCCTAACCCAAATATAAAAATCTAATCAGAAAGCTCCAAAAAAAATACATTGGCTTAACCTATATACCAGGCGTAACAAGCAATAAAATACTGCGAAGAACAATAAAAAACAACAACATAATATATGCGCATAAACCACACAATACTCTAAACAAAATATTTACTAAAACAAAGGACAAGATCGAAAAAGAGCAACATAAAAATGTAGTATATGAAATAACATGAACTGGTAATAACAATGAAAGCTGCAATAAATGCTATATAGGCACAACAAAACGAGCGTTGTGTATAAGAATAAATGAACATAGGACGGATGCAAAAAACAAAAAGATGACAACTGCGCTGGCTCAACACTTGGCAAACAGCACGCGAGTTTTGGACATCCAAAGAGGAGAAAGAAGGAGAATGACACTAGAAAGCCTACGAATACAACAGAAACTTGACAATGTGATGAATTTCAAAGAAGATGTGGGCAACACAAACAACGCCTACACAGCTATATTAAAATCTAGACATAAACAAAACAAAAAGAAAGTAATGTAAACTCGCTGCGCTACAACCATGTAATTATTGTTATTTAATGTGAATAATTGTAAAGTGGGAGTTTCAAATTCTGATGGGTATGTTATGATAATTGTAAACCATGTTTATAGTTTATTGTTTATCGTTCAAATAAAGCAGACTCCCTGAGGAAGGCGCGAAAGTCGTTGAAACGCGTAGGAGTAAAAAAGGAAAATTTTATTTTCGCTTTAATTCGAACGGCCGAAGGAGCTCATACCCAGCACACGAAAACTGATTTAGTTTCCTCGACTTTTACGCGTCACAGATTCAAAAGCAAGAGGAGAAATAGAAAAATATAAATACAGTTAAAAACCATGGGAATTTGAAAACCAAACTCCCGTCACCATTTCGCACGATTTGAACGAGTCAAAGTTTGACTTATTTCATGCTAAATAGATGGAGTATTTTCGCCTTTGTGCGCCAGGATTGGAGGAAATTTTAAGCGACTAGCAGCTGGAGCAAGTCTTCAACTCCTGACGTTAAAAAAAATTCGTACACCCGAAGCCCTCTGCCCTCTGCCAATGGGGTAAGAATATTTTAGAGAAAAAGAAGGTGCTGTATGCGTCCATTGTGATCTATCACCTGTACCCTGAACCCAAATTTTCCACTTCAAACTGCATTTACAGTGAAAGTAGGAAAATTGCGTTAGCGTCTTCAATTTTACTAAGAAGCGAATTTTCATTTAAATCTGTTAATAATTATATTTTCGCCCACAATTATATGGAAGGGAAGCATCTATTAAAGGACCATCGTAATGTATACAGTTATCCAGTTAAAAGTTATTAACAAAATCGTATCTGTGCTTCTGTGTTTATACTAATATCATCATTCACATACTTGCGATTATGTCCTTAAATGCAGTTATAAATATATATGATATGCAAGAATAAAATATTAACTACCAGTAATGCAAAAATAGTAATGTGAATTAATTATGCGCATACATAGGGTGTTTTCGAGCTGCATAAATATGGCCGAGAAACTTCTTATGAAACAGTATCACGGATCTATGGGAAAATTTCAGCGACTCTGCCTATATCACGCGTTCTATAAAAAAAAAATTTTACAATCCGTTGCTCATCGCCAGCAAAGCAAATGGACTATAAAAGAATTTACTGGTGATGATGAATATAGAAGCAAAGGTGAGCAGAAACATGAGCTGCGAACAATATCATCAGCATCCCCATCATCTGATACATTACCAAGCGCAATACAAGAATCAACACGAAAGACAACAACATAGTTACTCACCTCAGCCGTATCACCAATACAAGCTATGTTTTATTATATCTGTGGCATTGTTTTTAACAGGTAAGTAAATTATTATTTTATCGATATCTAGCAAATATCATTCTCATTCGTGCTTCGCGGCGCCTGATAAGGATTTGTAGCTTAGGTTGAAACGTCTGAAGAGCTAAGCCCTTCTCACACAGCCCAAGAAAATAGTGCTGCTATATCATATAGAGTGCTATTCACTTTCGATGTTATGAGATTTGCCGATTTTCTTACTTCCACATGAGAAATCTCTGCAAGGATTTCATTAAATGGTTTGCCAAGCGTGGACTGATGCGTCGACCTCTAGTCATATTTTCTTCGTAACTCTAAGACAGGGCCGGCTTTAGGAACAATGAAACCCGGGGCGTAAATGGGTCAAAGTGCCCTTTGATAATAATTTTTATTCTCCTTTTTTTTTCTTATAAAATATTCAATTGCAGAAATATTCGAAATAAAAAATCCAATTTTTACTATAATAAAAATTTTCAGATATCAAAAAAAATAAGTTTGCTTTGCGTGCTTTGACTTGAGCAAATTTTTCGATAGTTTTGGACTAGTCAATCTGAGTGGCAACCTCGTTACCGATAGATAACATAGCTAACGCGTTTAATCTTTCTTGGGATATAGTAGATCCTAGGTAAGTTTTGATGAGCTTCGATTTCGCAGAACTTCGACAAAAGAAATCATCAAATAATAGATTTTCTCAATATTTATTTTTTCGACAGGAAACGTGGTTTTATTGAAGTGAAACTTCTTAGGCGGCGGTATCGCAAAAATGGAGAGTGAAATTTTTAAAACTGAAAACGTTACATGAGTGATAAGGAAGATATAGGTAGTATAAGGAAGGGGAAAAAAGAAGTAAAGCGACGCATGACGGGTACGAGTACCTACATATGTATATATGTATCTTAGAATGCACGTATGCATGTATACATGTATATATGTATACATATATATGTATGTATGAACGAACTCATTGCGCATTTCAGCTCTGCCGCTACCAAGCAATATATGTATAAATGATGCAAGCATGCTTCGTGTAACTACATCCATTCGTACATATGTACACATGTTTGTATGGATATATTTATGATGGAGCAAACGGGCTTCGTTGATGAACTGATGGGCATATGTATATCATATACATATATGTACTTATGGACAGCAATAGTTGCGTTTTTTTTACTCATTTCCAGTAAAATCCAGTAAAAGTTTTTACGAATTTTCATGTTTTGGCGTTTTCGTACGCAAAAACTTGCAAAGTAGGGGAAATTGAGAGAGCGAAAAATGACAGTTGAAGTTGCAAGTTTTTACTGGATTTTACTGGATAAATTTTTACTTGTAAGAATTTGCCAGTACGAAAAACAGCTGATCGCATGTTGCTGGATGAAATTTAAACTAATAAGGAAACTGTTTGTGGGTTTTTATTGTTGAATCTCACAAAATAAACCTATTTAAATACAAAATATATTGTTTTATTAGGAATTTGCTGCGAATAAACAACCAATTTATCAGCTGTTCATGAAACTTGCAAATTGTTACTGGAAAAGCGTTCGCGTACTTTATTGCAATTTTTTTCTTTGAGAGCGAATTCTTAGAAATAAAGTTACTGGAGAGTTGCTGGCAAGTTACTGGATAATTTGTAAAAAAACACAACTAATGTTTTCATGCATGTACATATGTTTGAATGGTTGTATATTTATTTGTATGCATGTACATATGTTTGTGTGCATGTATATATGCACATATGTAGTACAAACGAAAACAAATCTAATAAGCTGCTCGTTGATACAAATGCGAACTGTACTGATTGTCAAAAATTATGTGTTTGTTCATGTTTGTCATTGTGCGTGTAATTTTCTAGAGTAGTTTTGTGTTCTTGCTATCTCCTTGTATTAACTCGTCCTTCGTTGGTAAACTCTGATGAACATATGTGAGGATGATAGCAAGGCCAACTTATATAAGGTAGTGTTACAGGAGCAGTTGAAATTTTCGCCCGATGTTTCTTAAAGAAAGCCATAAACATAGCGACCGTTGGTTCAACTTAGTGTTGTTGTGCTCTAGATTTCACCGTTTGTGGGCCTGTTGAATGAATTTATGTCTTGGTTGTATGAAAGATCAAAAAATTTGGATTTTCTGGCAAGTTGTACAACTTATCGCTACATTAATGGCCAAGTTGTACAACCTAATTTAATTTGCGTTTATTTTGTACACTAAATAACCGAAAACGGATAACTCAGCCGAAATAGGTACGTGCTTTCGTTGAACTTTATAAATATAAGCCAAACTATTAAATTGTAAAAATGAGATTTTACAATGAGACTGCTCGCAAAATTGCAATGTTTGTGGGCAAAACGTCCAACTTGATTGCGGCTTGATTTGAACCAATATCTTCGGCTTGCATTATGTCAAAAGGATGTGTTTGTTGTAATTCCTTCTGTCATTTACTACCATTATGCGTAGGCCAATTCATGAAATCATTTCATGCGTTTGAGTAGAAACTGAATGAATGAACACCATTTCATGATTTCAGTTAACGCGTAATAGAGTTTGTGCACTTTTGTGAATTGGACTACGCATACATGTGATACTTATGCTTTTAATTTATAAGGCAATTTTATGTTTATATACTCTTGCTACTACATGAATATATGAATTCGTGATAAGAATATATGAATTCGCCTTGAAAGATGAAAGCGAGTAAGAATAAATGCCGAACAAAGGAATTTGTCTTCTTTTAACTTAAATATGTAAATGCATTTTGCAAACAAAAGTGCGTGCGTTACTTAGTGCCTTGGTAATGGCGAATTCGTAAGGATCTATTGATTGCATTATAAACATTTTCATTTATTTGTTAAACATACAATTACTTCCATTACAACCCGGTCCTATAGATGCTAGAAGCGCGAATTCATATAAGATGTCGTTACCGGAAAATGAATAAATAAATTATATGTATATCAGAAAATTAATAAGATGAAATTAAATTATTGTTTGATTTCTACCCAAACCTATGTATGTAACTCAATCGCCGAACGGTAAACATATGTTTACACATCCAATTTCGTGAGTAGGTACCTGGTACTCACACCTAGTGATAGAACGATACGAGTACCGAGTACAGAATATCGATACTTTTCACAAGTACTGAGTAAATATCGCGAATGCCGAAATGTATCGACGAGTTAAAAACTTTTCTAAGTAATTTTTTTTTAATTACCCAATAAATATTGTGGCGAACGTTCGAATATTAACTTCAATATTCAATATGAATGTGATGAAAATGAACATAAAACTCATTTACTTCAGTATTTTCATAACTCAAAAACCGAAAACCCGAGAAACACGCCTTTAAAGTTTTTAATTCACATAACGTCACCCTCATGCCAGAAGCATGAATGCGCAAATTTATCAGTTTTGAGTTATTGGGTTGACTTGGTTAATCTTTGGATTTTCTATGTTATACCAAAACCCAGAATACAACGCATACACGGAAAGTAAATATTTTAGCATTTCAATTGCATAAATGTAGAGCTAAGTGTCGCAAAAAAAACTTTCAAACTTGATTTCCCAAAATGTTAATTTTTACACATTCCTGTTTATGGCATACGGACGACGATATGTATACTCCCATACTAATAATAAATACATATTTTGTCCTAGTGAGCTCCTGGTAACTGCCACAGTTATGAAATTTTTACACAACCTAGAAGAAAATGTAGCGGTCATTTCAACATTGGCTTCGGGTAAAAATTTTTAAATAATTGAAAAACGAATATATTGCCTCCCCTTTGATAATGAATGGTGGAAGAGGATAGTCTTTCGACTCGACAACTTGGCCACTCTCCAGCATAAGGCAGCCGTCGTTAACCCATGTATTCTACCTTCATTGTGAGCCCATTCTTGAAGACAATTTTTATAAAAGAGAGCTTATCTTTCCAATAAAGAATGGGCTTCACCACATTTGCTTCTCGTCTTCTACATTTACATTTCATTTTCAAAGTAAAGTTATTTATATATACATGTACGCGTCAAACAATTATAAAATATTCGCTTTTATAAACTTGGAAAGTTTATTCCAAAAACTCCTTTAGATCAGATTAAAACTAAATACTAAGAGCAGTGACTATTCAATTTACAAATAGGAAGAGGCGGAAAAGCAAAGCAATTTGAGCGTTTGCTTTAGGAATACTTGGAAGTACGAGTATTATCGATACTTTTTTGCAAATATGAGTACTGGCATCGATACTTTTTTAGAGTGTTCTATATGAGTACTAGTATCGATACTTTTCTAAAAAGTTCTATCACTACTCACACCCTTTTTAAGAAGTTTCACTTCTATCATGTGTACGGTGTTACATACGCATTTTTTTTTTTAAGAGCTTCGATTTCGCAGAACTTCGATAAAAGAAATCATCAAATAATAGATTTTCTCAATATTTATTTTTTCGACAGAAAACGTGGTTTTATTTTGTTAAATTGAATAATATATGATTTACAAAAAGAATTAATAAATAAAAAATTAAAAATTTGTGATTATTATCAGGCATTGTTTACTTCTACTTGAGAATTGTCAAAATCGGCAAAACCCCATTAGCGGTTTTTGGAACGCTCCACCTTCACTATATCGTGATGTGATAAAAAGAAAAGCGGGAATCACTCTGCAAGGTTTGCAGAAATCTCTCAAAATATGTTCGAAAAATATCTTGATATTGAAGGAACTGCTTAACACTTTCAAGGAAAAAAAAATTGCCAAAACTCAACGCAGTTTATAGCAACTTCATATTTGCACTTTATTATACAAAAATTTAAAAGTTTTTTGAGATTCAAATTAAAAAGTTTGCAATTTAGGTGAAGCCTTGCAGAATTTTTACATTATTGTGCAAATTTTGATCCAAAACCAGAGATCTATCACATTCTTTTGAAATCTATCACATTCTTTTCCAGATTCTACCTCATAGAATTTTTGACTGCTAACAACAGTCACTGGCAAAGTCAAAAAAAATCCTGAAAGAAACCCAAACATTAGGAAATAC